CTGCCCCCCCCCCCTCCATCTCTACCTTTCAATTTGAGAGTGGCACTTGGACTGACTAATATACTCTCTCTACCCCTGAAAAAGCAGCTCAAAATGGGCTGTGGTGGTATTTTCAAGTATGATATGATATCAGATGCTTAAAATCTAAGGAGCGATGTTGTTATGGAATACAGAAATAATTTTATTGAAGTAATTAGGCTGTGTCTTAATCTAACCGATTTTGTGTTTTTCAATAACCAGGGCAGTTTACTTATTCAGTTCTCCATCGGTATCCTAAAAAACATTGCTAGAACTGACTATTGAGTTTCTCTGTTAATGACGAAATACCCCCTTTTTTGAATTTTCTTTTTTTAAAAATATTTATTCTTAATTTTTAGGTGGACACAATATCTTTATTTTACATTTATGTGGTGCTGAGGATCGAAACCAGTGTCTCGTGCATGCTAGGCAAGCACTCTACCACTGAGCCACAACCCCAGCCCCCTCTTTTGTATTTTCAAGAGTGATTCATCCTCTTTCTCTCTTCCATTCCTTCTTTCCCCCACTGTTACTGTCACATGAAGGATATGAGAATTACCACCCAGGATCAAACTTGATTCACTTAATTTGCATAGATTATAAAAGGTTATACATGGTTGGGCTCTTCTGGAAGCAGGCCCTAAGCCAAGAATTTAAGTGAAAGTGATTTATGAAGGAAATCACAGGATAAACCAGTAAGGAAATGAGGAAAAGGAGGATAGTGAGGGGAAAATACAGACATAGGTCATATTTCTCTAAAGTCCTAGACTCCACATGATTGGGATCGGATCTGGAGTGTAATCTACATCTCAGAATTTGCTGTACATGGAGATTTTTTCCTTTCTGTTTCACTGGTTAATCTTTAGCTGTAGGGAAGGTTTCTTGAGTGCCCAAGAGCTATCTTCTGGAGTCCTTTAAGAATGAACAATATATTAACAAGGAAGAATGGCTAAATTCAGGGACCAGGTGCACAGATCTGGGAAAAGAGATCTAAGAATATTTAGATAGGACCTCAGCAGTGTTCACCACAAAAGTTAAAAGTGGTCAGAGTCAGAATATCAGAATATTAATCCAACATGTTCCCTTCCTTTTACATTTGAGAGGCTTGATATAAAGGTAAAATGATTTGCCCCAATTTCTACAGTTGCCTAATAACAGAACAGGATTAGAACCCACATGACCTTACTCCCTAACCAATGAATGCTCTTTTGCAGCAGCTGATATGACAAAGGATGTTGGCTGAAATAATGTTTTAATTGTTACCATTACACCTCAGTTCTCTTTAATATTGTAATTATTCATCCAAACTTTTAAAAACACATTTTGAATCAACTTTATTAGATTATATTATATAATAAATTGATCTATAAAATATATATATATGTATTTTTTATTGTAGATGGACACAGTACCTTTATTTTATTTATTTATGTGTGTTGCTGAGGATCAAACTCAGTGCCTCACACATGCCAGGCAAGCAGTCTACCACTGAGCTACAATCCCAGCCCAAATTGCATCTATTTTCAGTATATAATTCATGAGTTTGGGCAAATGTGTACCATGTAACCATTGCAATAATCAACGTTCCTTTCATTACCTCAAAAAGAACATTTGTGTTCCATTGTAACAAGTACTTCCCAGCACTGCTGAGTCCAGACAACCACTGATCTGCTTCCTGTCATTGGATTCAGTTTACTTTTGTCTGGGATTTCATATAAATGGAAACAAGCATCGTGTACTCTTTTGTGTCTGCCATCTTTCCCTCATCATGTGTTTGAGATTCATACATGTTGTATGTTAGTATTATGCTTTCTTTTATTGCTGAGTGGTATTTCATTGTGTGGTTATACAAAAATTTACTTATGACTTGTAATGGACAGTTTTGTCTATTATAAGTAAAGCTGTTAATGAAAATTTGTATACAGGTCTTTTTTGTGGATATGTATTTTCATATCTCTTGGGCAGATAACAAGTTATTGAGTTACTGGGCTGTATGGTAATGGCTAAGTTATACCTCCCACACCCAAATTATGGTATTTTACATTTCTAGTATCCATGAATGAGAGTTCAGTTGTTCCACGTCCCATCACTTGACGTTACTGTTTTTAAATTTTAGTCATTTTAGTTATGGTGTGGTGGTATCACTTCATAGTTTTAACTTGCATTTCCCTGATGATTAATGATGTTGAGCCTCTTTTTACCTGCGTCCTAGCCATTGGGATGGAGTGTGTGTGTGTGTGTGTGTGTGTTTATTTCAGGACTGTGATAGCTGTTTTATCCAGATTATGCTTATTCTATCATCTTTACATTTTCAAGTTTCTTTCTACTAATTGATTATTCTCCTGGCTGTGAGCCATATATTTGTTTTGTTTTATCCTATCTAATAACTTTCTACTGGATGCTGAAAAGTAGTTACGTATTTTTGTTTGTTTGGTTATTCCTGGGTGCTAGTTTTTTTTATCCTTTAAAAAGAGTTTTCTTCTTATCCCACCACCACCACCCACCCAATAGAGTACTTAAGTTACTTGATTCTTTAGATATTTGTTTTAGAGTTTTATAGGTCATATTCAAAGTAGCTTTTGCTCTGTGTCTTACTTAGCACCAAGACTAGAGTGTAACTCCATAGTTGTTGCCACTGAATTTCCCAGATGTTTACTGTAGCCACTTGCTTCTGGCTAGTCACAATTTGAACCTGGCATAGCCCTGCATGTGCTTGAGAATTTCTACTTACAGAGCTCCAATTATTGTTTGCCTGGCCTTATGTGTTACCCCCATTTGTGCATCTTAGTATTTACCCAGAAACTTAATACAGCTCCTCTACAAATTTCTGGATCTTCTATAACTCCATTCTACAAATTCCATCTCTCAGGGCCCTCCTGAAATCTGTGCTCCCTTCGCAATTTAGCAGGACCTCCTTTCTCTGCTCAGATTATCCCTTTTGCACTGCTGTCCAAAAATATTTTCAGGCAGAAATGTGGAGGTAATCTTAGAGTTCATTTTCCTTCCTTTAGAGATCATAGTCCTGTATTACCTGTTGTCTAATATTCTGAGAATCATTGTTTCATAAATGCTTTTCAGTTTTCTAGTTAGTGGCCCTGTATCATGGTCTTCAATATGCTTTTTTAAAAAAATTAAATCTCCATTTCATGTAATCTGCGAGTATCAAACCTCATGTATTTTCTATATTAAAGGCAACCTCCTTTTTTTCCCAGATTATTTGCAGGTTGTATTTGGTGTTATTGGGGTACACCCATGCAAAATATTCTGGGAGAGTCAAAATCTTAAGTCATAATACCCTGACTTTTAAAATATTTATATTTATGAAATATAACATGGAAAGTACACAGTTGAAAATACATAGGTTGAACAAATAATTTTGTAATATAATTGTGACAAGTGAAAGAAACAATATTGCTAGCACCCAATAAGCCTCTCTTATGTAATCTTCCCAGTCATAACCCTTCATCTGCCTGGAGACAGCTACTAACCTGTCTCACAGTGGAGGGGTGTAGTACATATCTGTAGACATAGGTGAGATTCCTTAGCCAACCTGCACTAGCCTTCTTGTGAATTAACAACCACTGCCCAGTCCCTTGAAAGCACCATGATATCCCAGTGCCAGACACCAGTGTACCCCAACTTTTTGGCTCAACATGTCACAAAAACATTTGTCTATTATAAAATTTAAAAAAAATTTAGGATGGTCTATATCTTTTTGTTAAATATTTATTTATGCCTTGTGGCTTCTACTACAGTCTTACCAAATAGTGAAGAATTAATTTCAAGTTTAAAAAAGAAGCATAAATTGCTATGGAGGACCCCAGATGAAGAGTTGCTGGCAGTTGAGAGGTTGGCAGGGGTGCTTCATATAAGAGATAGCATATGAGCTTCATTGTAAAGCAGTGGTTCTCAGACTTGGACGTTCATTTGGGTCCTCTGAAGAGCTTTTAAACTACCAGAACACTGGGCTTGTGGCTCAGTGGTAGAGCACTTGCCTAGCATGTGTTAGGTCTGGGTTCAATCCCCAGTATCAAACAAATAGCTCACAAACTACATTTAAAAAATAAATAAAAGTAAGCCTATCAGAGGCTGTATTCGACCTGAAGAGGTTTTATTGGTCTAGAAATTTTTACAGAGTCTCTAGGTGATTCAGGTATGCAGAATCAAGTACCTTAGAATAGAGCGTTCTCCTTAAGCCAGGAACTGGGGGTTTGTTTGTTTTTTAATTTATACAGTACATGTACTGACTGATACTTTGATAAAATATAATAAAGATGAATTACTAGAAAAATCAAAAACAAAATAATGCAAACCCCAATATTATTAGATTCTACAGATATACAATAACTGAATAAAATTGATATGAAGATTTCAAAATGTTGACTCTTGATTTCCTACTTATTGTCATGGACAGGAAACTGAACTCATGGATTGTTAGTAGTCTGTGAACCAGATTTGGAGTGGCATTGTTGTAGAGGGCAGACCCTTAGGAGTCCTATATTAATGGAATCATGGGCCAAGCAAAGTCAGTTGAGTACAGAGTGTACAGGGCCTCAAATGCTGTAATGAATAGCTTGCCTTTTATTCTGTTGGTGTTGGGGAGCCAGAGAATTCTCAAGAGAATGATCTGGTTGCCATCCCACTTCACCTACTCTTGCTGGGCATTCAACCTAGGGGCTCACACTTGCTAGGCAAGCATTCTATTACTGAGTTCCATCCCCTCTCCTGAATGGCAACTTTTGTATGATGGATTTATAGTAAGAAGGTATTATTGGCAAGAACCTGAAAATGAAGGGGTAGGGGTTGGAGATTTGGCAAAATAAAAAACAAAAACTCTTGAATTTTTGGAGAAATCACTCCAGAAATGCTAATAAACTCTTTAGAGGATACGAGAATTTAAACTAGGTAGTCCCTTGAGCTTAAATCCTCTAAACACGGTTAAATTGTAAAACAAAGCAAATCTCACCTTGTTATATTTTCAGAAACCACGCAGATAGAAGATCCAAGAAAACAATGGCGAGGGGAACAGGAGAAAATGCTCAAGGACTATCTCTCAGTGGCTCAGGATGCACTCAGGACACAGAAGGAGCTGTACCATGTGAAGGAACAAAGACTGGCTTTGGCCCTAGATGAATATGTACGATTAAATGATGCCTATAAGGAAAAGTCAAGTTCTCACACAAGCCGTAAGTACAGTGTGGCTGTTCAGACTTTAGAAATTGAGACGGGGTTGTAGATAATAGAAGGCCAGTTGCACTTCTGTGAAGTTTAATTTTGAGCCCTTTTCCTTTCCTAGGCAAGAAGAAGTCCTCTAAGCCATGAGAGGTGAGGGAAACTTACAGATTTCTCAGTAAAATATCTCAGACCCGTTCCAGATAAAAGTTTCCCCATTTGGGAATTATGTATACCTTCTGTTTTTACTCTTGCCTCTTATAATGCTTTTTATTCATTGATGAGTTAATTTGTACTTTTTCAGAACAAGGCAAGTCATTTGGCCCCATTTGCTACTCTTGTACAATATTTTTAGTGATGAGAAACTGGAACTATTAGTTAGAACAAAGTTTCTGCACACTGCCCCCCCCCACCCCATTTACTTCTCCTTTATCTTATATATGGATAATCTGGAGCTGATCCTTTTAAAAGAAGCAGTTTTGATGGGCTTGGAAGTTCTACTTAAATTATAAGTACATGCAAAATGTAAATCCCTGATTAGCTGCATCTGCAATATAGTCCTCTAAGGACATAGTATATATATACAATCTAGAATAAATTAATTTATGGTATTCCTCTTTCATGAGTTTTAAAAAAATTATAGAGGTTTGAAGATTACTTTTATATTTAGGTGTCTGAATGACAAAGAAATTGCAAAAAGAAAGTAAGTATCCACTGAAGAATATAAATCTTCTTTTTAGAGTCAGTAAATTCTAAAGTGAGAGAACTAGTTAGGCAACTTGAAAATAATTATTCTTTCTTTTTTTCTCTTTCAAAAGTATTCTCAGGATCTTCATCCAGTACTAAATATGATCCTGATATTTTAAAAGCTGAGATCTCCACTACACGATTAAGGGTAAGATTTTTTTATTTTGGTTGGATGCATAGATACTAAAGGTCATGGAAGGGAGGTTAGTGAGTGATTTTCTATCTCCATTTGGTATAGCAGACTTTTCCACTTTTCCTTGCTGGGTGGTCTTTTTCCCTTTGTTTAAACAAGTTCGGTATCTGTGATTGAGACAATCTTCGTTCCATTATTGGGATTTATTATTAGCAGAATTTAAATCTTGATAACTTACTTTCTTTCATTGTGCTACGTTTTGTCTTTTAGAGCTAAATCAAGTTGTTCTTTCATGAAACAACCCAGTATTTAAAGATGACTGCAACTTAGGTCATAATGTCATTCCTTTTTGAAGTCAGACTTTATTAGTTCCCCACAATTCTTCACACAGGAGTGTTTCCTGATATTTGCCTGAAATCTTTTTGATCAAATAGCTGTTAAGACCAGAACTTGTTTTTCCTTGATTGGGGGGGTGTCTTAACGGCTGTTCACTAAGCAAATTAATAAATGTAACCAATACCAAGATCATAAAATAGATTTTTTACTATAACCACAGAAGTTTCCATTGTGTCCCCTCATTGTCATTACTTTTCATTATTACCCCCTAAAAACAATACTTGTTAACATTGCAGGTTAATTTTTTGTCTTCTTTGTAATTTGTAAAACTGGAATGCTACCATCTGTAGTATTTGATGGCTTCTTTTGTTCAATAGCATTTCAAGATTCATCCAATCTGCTTTTATTGCTATACAACATTCTACTTTGGTGTACACACCGTAAATTCTTTATATCCCTTTTACCATTGTTATATATGTAGTCAGCTTTTCATTATTGTGACCAAAATACCTGACAAGAACAACATAGAGGAGGAAAAGTGTATTTTGGCTCACAGGTTCAGTACATGGTCACTTGACTCCATTGCTATGAATCTGAAGTGGGACAGAACATCATGGTGGAAAGGTATTATGGAGGAAAACTTCTCAGCTCTTGGCAGCCAGGAAGCAGAGAAAGAGTACAGGGAGCCAGGGACAAAATATATAATCCTCAAGGCATCCCTCAGTGACGTACTTCTTCCAGCCATGTGCTCACCTGCCTATAGTCAGTTACTACCCAGAGCATTAATCTATTCAGAGCATTAATCCATAATTATTAATCCTCTGACTAAGTGATAGCTCTCATAATCTAATCATTTCATCTTTTGCATTAACGCAGGAGCTTTTGGAGGACACATCACATCCAACCTATAACAATATACATTACAGTTTATTGCCAATTTCTTACTGTTAGAGTTACATGTTAATGTACACATCTTTTATGTATATCTTTTGGTGCACATTTTTTTTTTTTTTTTTTGTGCAGGAGTTGAATTGCTGTGTCAAAAAATACACATTTTAGGGCTGGTAATATAGCTCAGTAGTAGAATGGTTACCTAGAATATGTGAGGCCCTAGGTTTGGTACCTAGCACCTGAAAAATATAAAAGAAAAAACACACTTTAGTGGGTACTATCAGGTAGTCAGCCCTTCTTACTTCCTAATATCTGTACTTAAGGGTCTAAGTTAATTTATATACATGAATTTTGCTTACATTACAGAAGTTTTGAATTTTTGTATTTTTTTATAATTCAGTTCCCAAATATTTTATTTCTTTATGATTTCTCATAAAAATTTATTCTTTAATTTTCACATAATTGGAAATTTTCTTTTATTACTGATTTCAGCTTAATTCTGATTTTTTTTTTTTCAGTGTACGAATTTGTTTGATTATTCCTGGTTTCTAGTTACTTGCACATTGGCATGAAAAAAATTTTGACCAAAATAATCTCAATATTTTAAATTTTTATGTCTTGATTAATACAATACGAATATCCCCTATATGTTGAATTCTTGGTCTGGTCTGGTTTTTTTTTTTTTTTTCCTGTTGGTTTTTGGTTAATGCTTGACTCTTACAGTTGCTTACTTTTTTTTTTTATTAAGAGACACACAACATATAGAAAAGTCTTAACTTGAGGCTTTGGATGATCTTACCATCCCTCAGAGAGTATTTAGCTTTGTTTCTTACAGGCAGTTGTGTCAGGGTCAGATAATTTTAATCTAGTCAATGTTAGCAATGACTAAAATCTGGGCTTCGGTCCTATTCTAAGATTACATCTGTTTGTAGTTTACCTTTTCTGTTCAAAATCCCAACTGAACTCTTTGAGGATGCTTTATCAGGGCACCTTCTGCTTGATTGAGGCTAAACTGCCAAACTCTCCCTTCCTGCTTCTCAGCTCTGTGAGACTGCCAGTAGCTCTCTATATCTCAGTCCTCAGTCATTGCATTCTCCCACCTTTCAGTTTATTTTATAGGTAAGTATCTCAGAAGGAAGAACAGTACAGTATTTGGAGCATGATTCTGAACTTCCATTATTTTTTGGATCTTTAACATAAGTTCTTGCAGTCTTAGTAGTTCTCTAGTGCTTTCAAATAATGTTTACTGTTTAGTTAGTTTAGTTTTCCTCACAGTTTTTCTAATTGTTCTCAGAGAAAGAGCATGGAAAAAGTTTATGTAGGGGCTGGGTGTATAGCTCAAAGGTAGAGGGTGTGCTTAGTATGAGCAAGGCCCTGGTTTCATACCCAGCACCCAAACAAACGAGCAAAATACAAACAAGAATATGTATAGTTACTGGAAGTAAAACCTCTCTTCTGTTTGGATTTCTTAATTTAATTTATGAAGCCATTTATGGAGATCTGTGTCATTCTATAATAAATGACCTTATGGTACCAATTCATTAATATTTCTATGAACATTTCTCAAGACTGTTATGTATTGGTTTGTTAAGTGCTTTGGTACTGTATTTCTGTACTGTGTATATTTCTGTGATCTGTTAGGCTAAATAAAAAAAAAAGAGATTGTTAGTCTGTCCATTTAAATCCCTTGTAGGAAATGTACAAACTGAGGGAGGGATTTAAAAATAAAAACATACTACAGTATCTCATGCAAATAACCAGAAATTTCTATGCCTTGTTTAACTTCATCCTAAATCTTTTTTTTTTTTTTTCGCTATCAGAGATTGAATTCTGGGTTGTTAAACTGCTGATCTCCATCCCCAGCCCTTTTTATTTTCTATTTTGAGACAGGGTCTCAATAAGTTGCTTAGGACCTCACTAAGTTGCTGAGGCTGGCTTTGAACTTGCAATCCTGCCTTGGCCTCCTGAGCCACTGGGATTACAGGCATGTGCTACTGCATCCAGCTTGTTTAAAATTAGTGAGCAGGGAAAAGGTCTTTTTAGAAATGCTTCTGCAGCTATATGGCCATTATGGCTTATACATGGCTTATACTGTTGTGATGTTTGGAGCTGTGTCATGGTTTGGATACTCTGGTTCTCTTCAGTATTTGTGCATATTTTGGCCAGGTAGCACTGTCATAAGTAGATGGATAATGTGACAGAGTTTTTGAGATTTTGATAATCTGGACTTTCTTGGCTGGCCTGTCTACCTTACTGATCCAGCCAAGAAAATGCCTGTGTATATAAATCCCTTTCACAATTAATGTCACAGGAATAGTAATGCAAGAGTAAACTAACTTTTCCTTGCTTATGTCTCCATGTATTTGCCTGCATTTTGGTCACAGTAACAATTTTTCAGGAATAGCCAAACATTAGTTTCATACTTCATTATTTTGATGCAACAGTATTAGTATTGTACCTTATTTGTTTTACTCAATCAGAGGTGGCCATTCAGGTCTTTGGGAACCCTGTATTTAGGAACGTCTGTCTGAAATCTCTTTTCGCATTCTTTAATATTGTGGTCATAGGTATTGATGATCATTGGACTTTAGTGTCCTTCTGGGTCTAATGGAGTAACAATATTTCCTGATACCATCATTGTATTTGTTGAAATGGTGAAATAAATAAGTTAATGCTCCTTATTAAGCTATTCATAACTTTTTAAAATGTTGTATTTAATTGCTTGAAAAAAAAACTTTTATGATGAATAATGTAAAATTTTTTACTATTATTTATTCTTATAGCTATTTAGACCTTAATATTCTTTTTTTTTTTTTTTGTTCAATATAAAAGGATATTTATTGGGCATTGATGGTGTGCCATCATTAGACAGCTTTAAAATCCGAATTGACAAAAACTATAAAATCTTCCCAACAAAAAAGTAAACCACAATTGAATTGGTCATCTTGAGTGACCTAATTGTGTCTGGCCAAAGTAGCAAGAACAGACCATATCTATCTTGAGGAAAGCAAGGGCAAGTGAATTTTTTTTTTTTAATCTTTTTTTTTTCTTTTTAATTTTTTATTGTTGGCTGTTCAAAACATTACATAGTTCTTGATATATCATATTTCACAATTTGATTCAAGTGGGTTATGAGCTCCCATTTTTACCCCATATACAGATTGCAGAATCACATCAGTTACACATCCATTGATTTACATATTGCCATACTAGTGTCTGTTGTATTCTGCTGCCTTTCCTATCCTCTACTATCCCCCCTCCCCTCCCCTCCCCTCCCCTCTTCTCTCTCTGCCCCCTCTACTGACATTCGTTTGTCCCCCTTGTATTATTTTTCCCCTTCCCCTCACTTCCTCTTGTATGTACTTTTGTATAACTCTGAGGGTCTCCTTCCATTTCCATGCATTTTCCCTTCTCTCTCCCTTTCCCTCCCACCTTTCATCCCTGTTTAATGTTAATCTTCTTCTCATGCTCTTCGACCCTACTCTGTTCTTAGTTACTCTCCTTATATCAAAGAAGACATTTGGCATTTGTTTTTTAGGGATTGGCTAGCTTCACTTAGCATAATCTGCTCTAATGCCATCCATTTCCCTGTAAATTCTATGATTTTGTCATTTTTTAATGCAGAGTAATACTCCATTGTGTATAAATGCCACATTTTTTTTATCCATTCATCCATTGAAGGGCATCTAGGTTGGTTCCACAGTCTAGCTATTGTGAATTGTGCTGCTATGAACATTGATGTAGCAGTGTCCCTGTAGCATGCTCTTTTTAGGTCTTTAGGGAATAGA